AACTGCACTGGGATTTCCTTCCCCAACAAGCCCAAGAGCTGCGACACTTGTGACTGATTCATGATTGAGCATTTAAAATGGATGGTCCTCAAACTCTTCGGAAGAGTTCCTTCCCAAAGCTCTAATCCTTACACTCCCACCTTCCCCCAAAATCGGGGGTCCGCCGGTTTCCTAAAAAGCACGCAGCGCCAGGCAGCTCGGAGGCCCCGGAGGTCTCCCGCAGTCTCGGAGCACCGGGCCGCCTAGTCCGGCCGGCCCCCCCCCCCCGCCGCCGCTCGGAGCTGCGGCGAAAACCTGGAGAGCGCCGCACCAGAGCCGGAGCACTGCGCATGCCCAATGGCCCCACGGGGTGCGGGTCGCCCGCAGATTTCCTCCTGCTCTCACAGCGGAACCCAGCACGGGGACCCGGATCCAGCAGTGGAGACAGCAGCCTCCCCCGGCACCCGGGCTTCTGGGTCTGCCCGCGCGTGCCGCAGTGACACGGGTCGCCCTGGGGGCGCTGCCCGCAGGGTCTGGTCTGGGGGCGGGGGTGGGAGGGAAGGCCAGGAGCGGCCCTGCCTGTGTGACACGTGACTGTCCGCCGCGCTCCGGGGCAGCCATCTTCCGCCCTGCGGGGACCGCTGGCGAGGAACGGTCCGGGATCCGGTGGCTCTCGACCCAGCAGCTTCCCCACCAGGCCCGGGTCCCCGCCCTCACCTGCCTCCGCGGGGCTACTGCGTGGGTGCCGCTGCGCTGGCACTCGATCCCCGGGAGGACGGGCTGTCTCCGGAGCCAGAACCCAAAGGCTGAGAATTGGAGAGCAGCTCTCCTGGGCTGACGGCGTCTGCTTTTCCCCAGGGGCGGAAGTTAGAAGAGGAGTTCTCGTTCCTGAGGCGCCGGTACCGCTCCCACTGCTTCCCTGTTGTGACCCATTCCCGGCGACGGGAGGATGGAGGTGGCGGAAGACGTCAGGACCGCCGCCGCTCCCCTCCATGCATTTCCCCTGCCGCCGGTCAGGTTCCATGGTGATGCTGTTATAGTCACTTGGTGTCCCTGAAATCTCTGGACCCTCGACCTCACCACCCGAGGATGCATTACCACACCTAGACCCACGGAATCAGAAACGCTATTGGTGGGGTCCTCCCTGAAATCTGGTTAACAAGCCCTCAGGGTGAACCTAAATGCCGCTTTCCCTAAGCCCTTGAGACCCGTTTTCATGTGAGACGCTGAAAACTTGGGAAAAAACGGATTCAAAATGCAGCCTGCTCCTGGCCAGGCGCTTGGGGTCTCTCGTCCTCTCCTGCATCCCTGGCCTCTTCACCCCAGGACACTATGCTACTGCACTTACACCGTGTTTTTACATGACAACAGACATTCAGTTCAGTTTGGAGTGTCAACCAAGAGCAGGAGAGTGCCTGAGCGGCTTAGTAGCCCCACTGGGTATTAAACATCAGTTTAAAAGATAAAAGGAAGGCTTGCTGGTTTTTGACATGAGTGCTGGACAGCCACTGGCTACTTCGCACTTGCTGTAACCGAGGTCAAAGTAAGCACTGCTGTATGACAGATCAAGGAATCTAGAGTTTAAAATCTACCCTCCTCCCCCAGTGTGCACGTGTGTGTGTGTGTGTGTGTGTGTGTGTGTGTGTGTGTATGTGTGTGTGTGTACACACACACTTGTAAAGATGAATTAAAGTCTGCAGAATAGTGACAGTTGCTAGTGTGTCGCAGTCAATATAGGGCTACTTTAATTTTTTCCCCTGTATCTTTGAAATGTTTTTTTAAGAAAAAAAAAGATAGGACTCTTCTATGCATAATTTTAACATGATGCATCATATATTAAAAAGGGAAGGATATAAAAGCATTTTCACAAAAAAAGCATTTTCACTTCAATTTCAAGAAACTATTCTTAGAAAAGGCACATGTAAATACACTATATTTAGCATAGCTGTAAATAAATGGGGGGGATCTAAAGAGAAACCATAGCATTTAAAGTAAATTCTGAATTGTGTGGTCATAAGAGACACATCAGAGTTGACAGCAGATTAAATTTAGCTGTGATCTTTAAGTCACTATGTACCAAAAACTATTTAATAAATGTGAAAATGCTCCCTTTCTAGTCCGATGAGTGGTGAAGACTGGAGGAGTTCCTCAGCACTTGAAAATACATGCTGTTCTTCAAGAGACTCTAGTTCAGTTCCCAGCACCCCACCTTGCAACTGACAACCATCTGTAATTCCAGCTGCAAGGGATCTCGTGCCCTCTTCTGGCTGTAGAGAGCACCAATCATGCATGTGTGTAGACAGGCAAACAATTATACATAAATAATAAATCTCTTTAAGAAATAAAAGAATCCTTACACCATTCCTTATCAAAATCATGATAAGAAACATTAATTTTTTAAAAAAATTTAGGTTTCTGAAGTACATGGACTAGCACAGATAGTGTTGGAACAGCTAACACAGAAAAATGAAACACCACCAAGTCAGTCTGTCATGCTAAAAATAATACCAAGAACAAGTACTGAGATATACACTTCACTTGCCAAAGTGCCTAATCTAAGTAAAAAGTAAGAGTTTTATCCATTGACCTGTAAGTAGCAGTCCCCACTTACTAGAGAGTAGCCAAGCCACACCATGCTCCAGAACTAAGGGGCCTTCATTGTATCACCATGGAAATGTTCCTTTCTGAAGAATCCAGAGACACACAGCCTGAGCAGCAGGCGCAAGGCTTAACAGCCTCCTCGTCCCTTTAAATACATCTGGTCAACCTACAACCTGGGTTCAAAATCAAGCTGTGGGTGGGGAGCCAGCTGCCTATGACTAGGCTCCCTCCAAGTATTTGCCCTAAGGAGTAAATACGTGAAAAATCTGCCCTCTGAATTTATTCCTGTGCCTCCGCCTAACATTCCTGGCTTCACTATTGCTTGGCTTTTTTTATTGGTCAACAAAAACTGGGATTTTTTGGCCATACTTGGGTAGATGAAGGATTCAGCCCAATTCCTCCTTGTACATAAGATATCTTTCCCTATATATTAAATGCTGTATGATGGATATGTATTATCTCTGATCTTTTTGGGTATCTAGCAAGTGGGTGTCACTCAACCCTTAGTAAATAGTTGCTGAACCATAACTTACTCTATTTTCTATTTTTATTTCTCTGTGCTGCAGTTTGGCATGAAAAGGATAAATACAAAAAATGGAAATGTCTTTGTTATGTTATCCCTTCCGATTAGAAACCTTTTCAATCTCCCATGTATATTTAAAGGGATTTTCAAATTAGACATTTATGACTGGTGTGATGTTAAATGAGGATGGCCTCCATGGACTCATATGTTTGAATTGGTCCTTAGTTAATGGAACTGTTTGGGAAGGGTTAGGAGGTGTGATCTTATTGTAGGAAGTGTGTCACTGGGAGAAGCCCATGCTGTGTCCCAGTTAGCAATACCCCTCTCCATCTCCCTCTACTTCTCCCTCTCTGCTTCCTGTTTGTGACTCAGTAAGCTCTCAGCTATGCCCCAACACCATGACTGCCCTCCTGCTGCCATGCTCCTGCCACTATGGACATGGACTCTAGCCCTTTCACTGTAAGCCCTCAATTAAAGTCTTTCTTTTATATGTTGCCTTTACCATGGTGTTTTGTCATGGCAACAGAAAAGTAACTAAGACTTTAAGTAACTAACAAGGGTCAGATAAACAGATGGCATCTACAGAGTGGCTGCCCAGCTTGGTAGATATGCTACCCCTATCAAAACCACCACTTTGCTCCTGGCTTTACAAGTAATCAGTGTGTAACTTCAGGCAGGTTTAATTCTTGCCTCTTGAAATGAGAATGCTGTACCCCTCTTTTCTTCCATGGGTATCATGAAAATTATTTAGATCTTTAATATAAATATATATGTCTGTAAAATCTTACAGACAATTAGAGGTGAGCATAATAAAAACATGAAATATTGTTTAATTTATTGTGAATATTGTATTTAGTAATCAGCTTCCTTCTAGAACAAACACTAGAGCAGTCCTGGCATTAGACAAATGATAGACACATATTGTCTTCTCCAGCTGGTATTTATAAATGA